TGTTATAGACAGAACCAAAAGCATCCAAAAGCAAACATACCAGAAGCAGCATCTGACATGCAAAGCTGCAAAGACATGCGCAAAAACACCTAAAGCATGAATACTGTTCGATGTGGATATTCCCTCAAAATTCATAAGTATCGACACTGAGCCATTCAGGTAATTCCATTTGGGCCCCACCTCATTCGAACGTCCTTGTGAAAAAAAAAAAACAGGCCAAACAAACACCAATCCCTGAATGGTTCAACTAGTTCTTCTGCTTCACCATCTTGTTCAAAAATGCGCACACGCCACCGGGCAGGCCAACGTCCATATGGCTACGTCCAACGTCTTGGCTTTCGATCTGGCGAATGCTGCCGGTTCCAACCGCTCCAACCGGCCGGATCCCCCGGGGCGGTTGGACCGCCGGTCGGGCCGGTCCCTCCACGCCCACCTGAGAAGGCCAGCATGGCCAAGCGGCCGTTGCGCAGCTCCTTCACCTGCTTTCAGAGCACCCCCACGGCTCAACAAAAGCCCTAGTGAGTCGGCCCAGCTGGGAATGCAAGACCCACAGTTAACATCGGGGGAGGGCCGGGAGGCCTCCGTTCTGTGCGTCGTTCGATCTTTCTTCGACCATCGACTCTAACCAGCCGCGCCTGCATGTCGTACTGGCCCTTGGCATCGGCAGGGTAGAAGCCCCGCAGCCCGAAGTCGCCCGGCTTGCGGTCCTTAATAACGGTCACCGGAACACGTTTTGTCGAGAGACACCAAATATGAGAATTGGACCGAAGAGGAAAGAAGATCAACAAAAACCTTCTCAAGCTGCTGGAGGATCACTACCCCAGGTCAGGTTCCTTCGATTTCATAGGGTCACAAATCTTCTGTTTGGCCAACGGGAAGTTCAAACGTCACACTGGATGGAGATTCCATGTCCATCCCTCCTCCCACCCAGCTCTCGACTTTCGTCCATTCCTCCAAGTAGCAGTCTTACCCTCCTGCATGTTGATGATGGCAAGGAAGCCAAAGAGCTCCAAATAGCCCAGCCACACCAGGATCCTCAGACCGGCGTTCAGTGTCGCTGCTATCGGTTTGGGCTCCAAGAATGGCTTCGTCCGGAGTCCTCGGTGTGATTCGCTGTGATGTTCAACTCAAACAGGTCCGATCAACATCCCCACCAACGGGAGTACTGGGCTTACCCATCCAACCAACTGACGGTCGGATCCAATGCATCCTTCCAAGCTCCGAACTTCCCGCGACCAACACCAAGCGGCTGAGGCATGGAGCCGAACTTCACCATGGCATCGTGGGCCTGGAACTTCGATCGGAGGAATTGGAGTTGGAAAAAGATCTGACCGCTGTGTTTTTCTTTCGATGGATTTAGAACTTTGATGAACTTAGTTACTAAGAACTACGAGGCAAGGTGGGACAAACCTCAACGGAGTTCTTTGGATGGGTAAAGGTTGTGCAAAGGTTTGAAGCATCGACTCCTCACACGAACAGTGGACCTGGACCTGGATATGCTGTGCCAGGTCTGCACTGTAGACTTAAGTGGCGGAAGCCTTGTGGCGGAGTGCTGGATATGCTGTGCCAAAATAAAGCAGCAAAAGCAACTCGAGCAGCAAAGGCAAAAAAAACAACGTCGCATCCCCCTTGCAAGAGATCCATCCCCTCACCAAACCGAACGAAACACCCTTGGTGACTTGAAGGCACACTCTTCTTCCCACACCTCCCCATCTCTCCCATCGCTCAGCTCGAGCCGTTCACCCAACCTCAATGGTGGAGACTTGGAAGGGCTCACCCGGCACGCGGAGGCCTCGCTGGGTCGAGCAACGGCTGCAACTAAGCGGGTGCATGCAGACTAAGCCTAAGCGGCTTAGTCGGAGCCATTTGGGGACAGGATGTCTTCCAGACAAACCTAGGGCTAAAAATTCACAGAAGGAAAGCAAGTTGGTTTCTTCACACGCCGAGAGAACCTGCATGCAAGACGTAGATGGGGACCCTAACATTCCACCTGTCTGTGGCTTTGTGGCACTATATGTAGAACGTCGCCTGCAACCATCTAATCCTGAGTACCTGTCTTTTAAACCACTGCCCAATAAACATCAATAAATATGTCTGACACCCCCAAATACCATTTGCCTTTGGTTTTAAGTTACCCTCGCTCTTTACTTTCTACCACTCAAATGCGCCTGCTGATTGGACAAAAACGACGTCTGGTCACTCCAGTCTGTTGTGCACACTGAAGAGGTCTGGTCAAAACAAAAGGCGCTTGCTCTTTTTCTGGTTGGCTGCTCAAGCTCCCCTCCAGTGGGTTGCCTGGTGCCATCCACTCAACCCAGTCACGGCAGTTTCCTCGTTGCCCAGCCACCAAGATCGGTAGCGATCCAGCCCACAGTCGCCAGCATCGCCACACGGCCGTGCTTCAGCTCCGCCTGACCAAACGCATGATGAGCGCCACCCAGCAGTGATGTGTTCCGATCATCTCCAAGCGAGGCAAGCTCGCCAAAGAACGTGTTCACTTCCCAAAGCGGGAAGAACCAGTGCCGTTTTCACTTCCCAAAAAAAACTGCCACTTCCCCCCCCCAAAAAAAAAGCAGATCAAAACAGAAGGTGACCGATTGGTCCTCTCTTCACGTTTCGGATTTCTTCGTGAAAGCGAACCGTTCGCCGGACGACCCTTTCCTTTGCCGGCGGAACCCGGCCATGGAAAGCCGCAGCCGAACTGGTGGGGCCACCGAACTGGCTGGGGCCCACTCTGCCACTTCTTGGGACAACCGGCCGAAAACAGGTCAACTGGTCAACCATCCATCCCTGACAAGAGAGAGATGAAAACTCTGCTCGTTCTGGTTTTTCATAATACTAAGATTGACAAAGACCTGAGAGAAAAATAAGAAAGAAAGAAAACACCAACAAACCAAACCCAACCTGAAGAAATGCTGCGAAAGCGGTGAAAACCAACCCCTGATGTTCTGCTGCTCTTCCGCACCGCCACCCTGCTGATGTGGGGCTCAAATCGCTGCACCGAGCGGCACCGAGGACGACCCCGGCGAAACAGCCCAAAAGGGTCTTCGCCTCAGGAGCTACTGGTAGCGTCCGATCGCTCTGTTCGTCGCAATGCCCGAAACGCTCCTTCCTTCGTAGCGTCCTCTTGTTCCTAGTGAGGCCGCTACGAGCCCCTAGCTGCTAGCGTCCTCAGTTCAACGGATGGAGTCGCCAACGGAGCCAACACGGCGCCCTCCTCGCTCTGCCTCCCGGAGCCAACGGATGTCGATGGCCAACGAGAAGCCCATAGGGTCGAAGCCCTCCTCCTCGCCTGTGAGCGGAGCGTCGAGTGGAGCCGGGCGCCAGGGACGGAGGAAAGGGACGGTCGTGGGGAGTGGCGAGGTCAGCCTCATGCGTCTCCAGCTGGGGGCGTCAAGAAGTCCCTAGGGTCCATGAGTCCATGGTCCATGCCACCAAGTGTTGAAGTGGAAGTCCGGATGGGCCACATCGAACCAGCTTGGATCGTTTAGGATCGAGAGATAGCTTGCACTCACTTGACCTAATTACATGCAGTGTCTCAAAGAGATAGCAGGGGGGGAATCAAGTCTTGACTTCCCCAACGGTCCTTCTCGCCAAGCCGAGAGCAAGGAACTGAACTGAAAGGGAAGAAGAGCTCAGGAATCAATTCGATGTACCCTGCCGAAAACCAACATGGATCTTGACAAGTCCCGGAGGAGCCCAGTTCGGTTTTCAGGATCCATCGTATCGCCCTGGTACTTGGTAGGGTGAAAAACAGTAGGGTGAAAGCTAGTCATGTAGTTTCCAGAGCTTGGAACCTTCCAGAGTCCAGAATGATTGAGGCTGGTGGATGGTGGTCATCACAAATACAGTAGACTTACTCCAACGACGGGTCATAGGAATCATTGAAATAGGATTCTAGGATGGTATTGTCCTCAAGGTGTCTACGTCCCAAAGAACTTTGACCGCACAGAAGCAGGTATTTGTTGAGAAGCACCAAGTCTCTTCCATCACCGGTGGAGAAGCAGAAGCTTCCTGATTGAGTTCTGCTCCGCCGACCTCGCGAGGTTGTTCACCTCCCTCCAACACCCGAGCACGTTCGCCACACCTGGAAGGCCCTCCAGGGCTGGGGACATCGGCAAAAAGGGCACTGCGGCGCTCATCTTGTAGCCCTTGGATTCCGCTTGCCTGGAATTCAACTTGTGTTGTGGATTGAAGAGCAGGAAAAGGTTGCCTGAAACATCGAAGAGGGCCTCGGATCCGGGGTCCGGTCTTTCTAAACGCCACTCTAAAGATAAACCACGTCTGAGACACAGAGCCTCTCGCTCTGGTCTGTCCAAAACATGTGCTAACAAGAGCTTATTGAGCGCACGAAGCCTCCGTTTCTCCATTTTTTTGCCTCCAAAAAGTTGGGGGTCCATTGGGTTGTCGCATCTGCTGCGTCCAACGTCTTTCACATCTTTCTGCCGTCGAGTGGTTTGTCAGCGCGACATGAGCTGTTTTGAAGGATGCCTCAACCTCCTCCTCTGTTTGTCCAAGACAAGTGCTTCTTGAGCAAGGGCTTAGAGATGCTTAGAGCATACATGTCGGCCTCATAAAGTGGTCTCTCCATCTTCTGTCAAGTAGATGGACCCAACTTGTCTTCAGTTTCCACACTTGCAAGGAAACCGCAAACAAAGCTGAGACCACCAACCAGTTTTGTAGTACACAACACTCCAGCCTCCAGCTCAGTAGAAAAAAAGACAGAAACCCACCAAACTGAATGAAAAAGCTGGCCAACTGCTCTACTTTTGGAGGGGTCATCCCATAGCATCTACCCACCATGTCTGTTTCAAATTTGTGAGACACCAGTGACCTCTCTTCCAAGTACGTCTCTGCTGGATCCAACGGTTCCTCTCCTTACTCCTCCGCTCGCCCGTGCCTGGCCACGCGGCTACCACCAAAGCCAGCGCGAGCGGAGCTGCGCTGCGTGGAGGCTCCGAAGGTGGCAGCCTTCTGCTCCTGACAAACAGTGGACATGGCCCGATACTTGGACTCGCGACAGAAATCGCTTTGAAAAAGGATGATCTCCGGTGAAATTCATCCAGAGTCTACATGAATGTCATCTGAGCTTAGCAAAAATGCTTCCCGCACCTTCTCGGCATAGAGCCAAGGGAAGCCGTTCCCAGTCAGGGTGGCCTGCCAAGCCATGCCAAGCCGCTCCCAGCCACCGTGGGGGCAGGGGCCAGGGGACCAGGTGCTGAGCGGCTGCCAGCGACACAGAAAATACCCGGCGACCCAAGGACCCCAACAAGTCAACCTGGTTCCGGGAACGATCAAGACGATCTCTTCAAGGGTCTTCAAAAGTTCTTCAAAAATGCTGCTAGATAGTACCAGGTGATTAGTGCGCCGGAGCGCCCGGCCTGAGTGATGGCACCGCCGAAGGCCAACATGGCCAGGCGCCCGTTCTTGAGCTCCTTCAACTTCATCTCCTGCGTGTGCGTGGCGAGCTGGCCTCGCATGGTGGTAGAAGTATACACTCCCAATGGCACATCCGACGTAAACATCACCTGTTCAGAGTTCAGAGGGTGAGTCCCACTGATTGCCCTGCCCCAGGGTCCCTGCCCCCTCATGATTTACGTTGACTGAAGTCACCAGACCCATTTGATCTGTTCAGAAACCCGACTCTTTCGGTTCATAAACCGTGCCGGACTTCCGAACGGCGGTAGTCGCTCCTTCACCTTGGCAGGATCATCTGGGAGGAAGTTGACGCCCAAGCGGTAGTCGCCTCTCGCGGTATCCGGTCGACACGGCGTGTCGCCCCACGGTGCCAGGTGAGGCAGGGTCGTGAGGCAGGGTCCAGACTCCGGCATAGGACTCCGCTGTCCACTGCTCGGTGACGGGTCGTGCCCACCACACTGCTCGGCACTTCAGGGTTTAGGGAGCTGAGAACCACACCGAAGAGGCTTGGCTTTGATTTGTTTGCACTGACTGGTGATGTTGGTTTAGGGGTGTGGGAGGGCACACCGCTTTTGGTGCAGCTGTGCTAGGGCGTGCTACCATGTGGTCCTTCCAAAAGCTTTCAAATCCCATGGAGGTGTCACCACTTCTCATCCAACATCCACTTTGTGGACAGCTTTCTTGCCTCACTCCACAGCCCGACCCACACGTCTCAACGCCCATGCCACACAAAAAGACCGCCTGCATTCTCCAGAGTCAGTCCCGGCTTGTTGGAAATGTTGCTGGTCTTGGCCTCGTTTCGCGATGCCGCCCGAAGGGACCGGTGACGAACGATTGCAGACCGGTGAACTCCCTGCCCGTCACCGTTGCAGACCGCCGTTGGTGTCTCTCCATGTTTAGTGTCAGCAGAAGTCTCCCATTTTGGGGGTCAAAGCGCCACGGCTCATTTTGTTGCCAAGATCTAAGAGGTTCTTCCGCTTGGAACTCCACAGGTGTTTGGAGTCACCGACCACCAGGGGTGATCGGTGACCTTCATACCTCGGGCGACCTAAGCTCCGAGCCCTGAAGCTCGCGTTTGTGCCATCGATGCGCGGTCCGCGGTCGATGTGGTGCCCCTTCGTTCGGATCCCCAGTGGAGTTCCGAAACGCGGGCGCAGCTTGCTCTGACAATCTCCAATGAACATGTTGCCTCAAGATTGGAGCCCTTAGAGAGGGAAAGTGGAATGAATTCATGTCAGGCGTTGGTTTTTGACATACCCGTCTTCAGTTCAAGAATCCCAACTGGTCGAAGTCCCTCTTCCGAGAAGTCACCCTACTGTTTCCTGACCATCTGGTTATCTCTCGTCCCAATAATCAAAGTACCCTTTTCCATACAAGTCTGTCGCTTCGCCTTAAACCTCAAACCCTTGTGGGGTGGTCTGGTGGTCTGTTTTTCACTCCTCCCGTCCAGTCAGAGACGGAACAGCTCGTGCAACCCTGCGACGAAGGTTGTGAGCATCTCAACGAGCCCGCAGAAGGCAAAGACCTGCTGCGAACATTGGTGGAAAACACCCAA